ATATATAAATGATATTACAGTGATAGCATTTTGTCGATCAGTTGGAATAGAATGCCTGCAACTATAGTTACACTATCATGACTAGCAGGTCTGAGGCATCTGTGTAACCTGTTATACAGAGGAATGCAAACCAGTATTGAGTGGTGCAAACCTAAAATAATTCCTCAGGCCATATAAATTCATAGAACTGAAAAGCCAGGGCCCACTTGGAAATTCTGAGCAAAGAGGTAACATAGATTTTCAATAGTACTACTATAAAGGCTATATCTAGAAAATGGATACCAATATGGAGAATTCAGATAGACAAGAACCTCAAGTGAAGGATACTACCAACCAGGCTGCCAGATTTCAAACTAGAGAAAAAGGATATTAGGCCGGCCTCAATATATCAAGAACAGTTCACAGTCCTTCAAGGCTATTTGAATTGGGAGTCTGTTTAAAGCAGATATATACTAAAAGTACTAGAGATATGCTATGAAGTCAGTGCTGGGGTCTGGGTGAACTCTGTAAGGATAGCCTATGCTAGTGTTCTAAAAGTAGATAGATAGTTAACAACAGAGTCCCTTGTATCTTACTGGCAGGTGATATACTTTGAAATATGTAATAACCTGCAAACTAGTATAAAAAGAGTAGGTAACAATACTGCTTAGATGATATATCAGTTAGGTATATATGAGGGCAAGTTGGGGATTCTAATATGATAGAGCAGATAATCAAAAGGTTTAAATAAATAATCTTCTAGTAGTTTATAGGTATGGCATCTAATGTAAAACCTTAGAGTGGACTACTTAAATAGGCAACCAAAAGTTGCATACATAACTAGCTGAACATTCATCTTTGTAAAAATAGTTGTAATAGCTAACCCAATATAAGTTAATAAAATATCATCACAAGTATGGTCTTTAACAAAAAAAAATTTATTTATAATAATTATATTATAATATTAACAAAGTATTATAATAAGAATAAAATAAGAATTTTTATTATTAGAGACTAATTAGTTAGAATATTAATATAAATAAATAAAAGAAATATTATAAATTTTTGCTTTAAATTTGACAATATTATATAATATTATTTGATTAATATAACTTTTAAAAAAGTTACTAAATAATAATAGAAAGTTTTTTAAAGAATATTTTTTTTCATAATAATTTAATATTTTATAAAATTTTTTTATTAAATTTTATTATTTTTATTACAAGAGTAAAAGAGACAAAGAGTTATCTTTTACTTAAGATAAAAAAAAATTTTTTAGAATAAATTATTATAAAAATATATTGTAAACATTTTTTCTTTTTTTACTATTATTTTCTTATTCTTCTTTTTTTAATTTAATTAAACTAAATTTGAATTTAAGTAATATTATTTAAATTTGAGTTTAAATAAATCTAATTTAAATTTATTTAAACTAAATTTAAATTTATTTAAATCTAATTCAAATTTAAGTAAATCTAATTTAGGTTTAAGTAAATCTAATTTAAGTTAATTTAAATTATTTAAAGTTATTTAAATATAAATCAAATTTAAATTTATTTGAACTCAATTTATATTGATTTAAATTTAATTTAAATTTATTTAAGCTATTTCATATTTATGTAAATAAACTTTACTTTAATTTAAATAACCTAATTTAAACATAATTCACGTTTAAATAAATTTGAATTAGGTTTAAATAAATTTAATTTAGATTCAAATAAATTTAATATAAATTTTATTGAAATAAAAAAAATATAAATTATTTATTATATAATTTTAGTAATACAATAATCTTATATAAAAAATAAAAAAATATTAATAATAAAACTTTTTATAATCATAATTAATTTTAGGAATATAATTATAATAATCTAAAATAATCATTATTTTATTATTTTTAAAGTTAGGTTACAATTTAAGACCAAGACAAAAATTAAATATAATATCTTTAAATTTAGATTATACAAGATTCTTAATATTTTTATTTAGTATATTTTATTTTTATTTTTTAGTTTTATTTTTGTGATATAGTATTGAGATAATGATTACTTCAAGTTATAATTAATAAGATTCTTAATTTTAACTAAAATTTTATAATATATTATTTAAATATTCATATCTTACTAAATTTACAACTAATTTTAATAATTTTATTAATATTAGAAATTTTATTTTATAGTTTTATTTAATAATCTAAAAAGAATTTATTTAATAAAATTTTATAAACTATTAAAAAAAAAACAAGAGGTATGACAACTTATTGAAGTGAATAAGTTGTTAACTTCCAAGTAATAGATTATAAATTCAAAATCTACTAGAAATAAAATTTAGAAAAATATATTTGTATTATAGCAATATCATTCTATTAATCAGTTGGAATAAGATACCTGTAACTATAATTACACTAGCATAATTAACAGATTAAGGAGATTCTGTATAATCTTAATTATATAAAAGGATGCAAACTGATACTAGATAATGCAAACCCAAGATAAGTTATTGTAACTATATAAATCTGTAGAACTGAAAAAACTAAAACCCACTGAGAATATCTAAATAGAAAGATAATACAGATCTTTAACAATACTACTGTAAAAACTAGATCTAAGAAATAGATAACTATATGAAAAAATTAGATATATAGAATCTTTAAGTGAAGAATACTACTAATTAGACTGTTAAAAGTCTTGATTTAAAAGAAAAAAATATTAAACTGAACTTGGTATACTAGAAATAGATCATAGTTCTACCAGACTATCTGAATTAAAAATTAGATAAAAAAACAAAGGTATACTATTTGTACTAAGAATATGCTGTAAAATTAATATTAAAATCTGAATAAACTCTGCAAAAGTGAATCATAATAATATTCTATAAAAATAAATAGATTAGTTAATAAAAAAACCTATTGAAGTCTTACAATCAAGTAATATACTCTAAAATGTATAACAGTTTGATAGATAAATAGAAAAAAACCAAATAGTAGATAGACAACACTTAAATGTACAGAAACCAATATACTATCTGTTAGTAGTATAGAAATCAGAATGTTTAATTAATCTCTTAGCAGATTACAGGTATAACAACTAGTGTAGAACCTGCAAGTGGACTACTTAAATATGTAACCAAAAATTACATATGTGTTAGTTGCACACTCACCTTGTACAAGTTATGTAACTATAATTAAAAAAACACAATATAGGCAGTAGCTACTGTTAACAATGGCCTTAGTGAACACAAAAAAAAAAGACAAATATTATGAGATTTATATATAATTTATTATTTGTAACCCTTACCCTTAAATCTAATAAAAGTTCAAATAAAAATATATTAACTTAAAATCTAAGATTTAAATTAGCATAGATTTAAGTTGTCTTAGATTTAAATCCGGTGTAGCGCTCAGGCCTGAGGCCTATTCTAATTAGTTATAATGTATGACACGGTTGCACAATTGAATTTCTTAGGCAATAAAAGAAAATTTAACCATGCACCTTCTGATACAGCAGAGACAGTGCCAGATCCAAAGTGAATCCCTATCGCTTGTGATCAATCACAAAAATTAAATTATTTATGTTGGATTCAATTGTGATGGATATAATCCCTCACCAGTTTTAATATAAACAGTCTCTGCTATAACCTTCTGATCGATAACACATCGGGAAATTATAAAATATAATTTACAAACTGGGAATGGGTTCGGCCATGAACGGGCACAATTATTCATAGCCAATTTGTTAAATACAGAGATGTTTTTACTTTTAAGCTCTTAATTAAAGTTGTTCATAAATAAATTCTGGTCATCCCATCTTAAAAGTGAAAGAACGATACCTTCTCCGAAACTCGGAATTTCAAAATATGTTAATGCCATGACTGGTTATTAAGGTGGTTAATAGCCAGTCATGACGTTACAAATTTCGAAATTCCAAGTTTCAGAGAAGGTATCGTTCTTTCCACTTTTAAGATGGAGTGACCAGAATTTAATTATGAACAACTTTAATTAAGAGCTTAAAAGTAAAAAATCATCTCCGTATTTAACAAATTAGCTATGAATAATTGTGACCGTTCATGACCGAACCCATCCCAATTACAAACCCATAAAAATTACAGTAATACACTATACAATTCTTTATTGCGATAGGTTTTGTATGTTACATTTTATAATTTAAAACTCAATGTGCCCGATGTGTTATTGATAAGAAGGACTGTCATATCATATAACAATTCAAATTGGCCATTTTACTTTTGCAGCACTCATTTGTTTATGTATTAGAGCAGAGTTGAATATTTTTTTTATTGCTACAATTAATTGCATATATTTGTTTAGTGTGAAACTGTATAACAAAAATTTTAGGAAATAAATTCGCTAACAGTAGAGTTCCAATCCGAAAATCCGTTATCCATTTATCCTAATTTATCCGAATATCCAATTATTATTGATAGTAAAACGGATATCCGAATAAATTCACATCTGGATACCCAATAGACAAATGGATAAACGAATAACGGATAGGAACTCTAATTGACAGTTTAGTATTTCTTTTTTATTTGCATTTTAACTAGAGTATTTGATAACTTCTATTAATAAGTCTTTATTCATTATAAACTTTTTTTGTAAACAAATTAATGCTCTGTTTCAAAAGGTATAACAAAATTATTACTAAAAGATTTCAAATTCAAAATAAAAAATGACTTTTTATAAGAACGTCACTTATTAGTAAAGTTCAATTTATTTAGCAAAGTCACTTTTCTTGTAATAACTTCAATTCATTAATTACCTTCATTCATCATGATAACTTCTATATGTTATATAATCAATCGAAAGAACTTTCTTAATAAGAATCTTTTATTATAAGTTGTTTCTCATGCTCCAAAAGAATGAACAAATTTATATCATAAATGATCCAGATTTGCAGGTTAATATTAATTTAGATATTTTGAACTCCAAAAACTAATTTTACCTAACCCTTATTAAAATAAGCACACTTGCTTATAATCTAACAATTCTTAAATATTTACTACATCTATAACTCACTTCCAAAAACCTGAGCCCAGAATCCATTCGAAAATCCAGCTCCAAAATGAGTATATCTTGGATTGAGCATGTTCGTTTTGTGTCCTTGAGATTTCATCCATCTTAATATAATGATAAAGAAGAATCATTAAAATATTAACAAATTAACAATATAATAAAAACCATTATAAATTGTATTATGTACCCTTCTACTGCCGTGGCTTCATTTTTGTAACCGCCAGCAACATTTTCTGCACAGCTGGACCAAGAAAATCCTTGGGCTTCAATTCTAGTACCAAGATCACCAGATTTACTAGCATGTGTACAAGTGTTGCATGAAGCCATAAAGTTAGATTGTAGTTGAGCAACTTTTTCTAAACGGCTTATAATAGAAATTGACACATGTTTATATATATTATAAAAATAAGAATTATTAGGCTATTTATTCCAATCAAATTCCAGCTTAGTTTTTCTTTATTTCTAAAATAATTATGGTTGGTGAAAAAACTTACGAATCCCATTCTAATTCATTAACGCCAATTTTTTGACGCTCATTATTTACTAACTTAAGCATAAGATCTTTATTCATATTTGTTGAATAGGAGTCAGTTCTAAATTGACACACCAAAGTTAGAGCTCAAGTACAATTTATTGATATTGATCAAATTTGTTATCCTTTATTTACATACGTACGTATGTGCTACATAAATAGTGTTACATCCAACAAGATAAACCATCGTGCAAATCCTGTGGTTCTTGTGCTAGTGTTACCATCATCATGCATAAATACAGGGCAACGAATAACAACAATACATAAAAATTTTTGTGTGTATTTTTCTTAATAGAAAAAAAATATAAAATAATCAAGCGACAATAAGTTTTAAAACTATAATCTATGTTAATAAAATTATATTTATCATGTTGTTTTTAGTGTTCTTTTTAAACTATTTTTGTTTTAGGTAATAGGTTGTTTTTTTTCTTCTATATATGTCAATTCTATATTGTACTGAACTCATTGTTAATTTATTTCATTTTTGCAGTAGCGAAATTTGGTAAAAATGATTATAAAGAATATAGGGATAATAAATTGGTTAGCCACGTAGTACTCAAATATCGTATCAAATATGAGTGACGAAAAGGGAAAACCTGTAAATCATTTCACTCATTGAGTGAGATGATTTACAGGTTTTCCCTTTTCGTCACTCATATATGATATCAAATTTAGTGATCAGCTAGATTATGTTTCAATAAGAAAAAATAATTAATTTTATCAGAATACACAATTAACAAATAATATGAATTCTATATATGAGTGACGAAAGAGAAAACCTGTAAATCATCTCACTCATTGAGTGAAATTATTTACAGGTTTTCCCTTTCATCACTCATATCATACTATTAGTTCAGAAGAATAGAACATATTTAATAATTAAGCATATCAAGAAATAACTATAATAAATAATACATATGATTATAAGTTAAAATTTCTGGATATATATCATTTTATTAATAATCATTTAACTAAGAATTCTATCATACAGAGCAATGATTGATATTTAATAATTGTTTGATAATTGACAATTATTGTTCAATATTACTCTTTATATTATGCGATAAGGTGCTTAGTGAAATGCTTGTAAATAAAATGATATATATTTAAAATAAAGTTTCTATATATTATCAATCTTTATAAATATTAAATGAAAAGCAAAAGCGTAACGTAATATTAGATATTGAATTAAGAATTTTAATATTATGTATTTTATTATAAAAAATGTAAAATTGAATACTTCGAAACATGCAAATAAATAAATACAAAAATCAAATAGAGCAAAACATAAATTAATAAATTTATAGTTTAAAAATATAATTCAGTTTTTTCAGAATAGCAAAAAACCAGAAATTAATTGGGATGGAAATGTTTTAAAAAATAAAATTAGATTAAAGTTGATTTACAAGTAAGTTATTTTATATTATTTTATAAACTAAGTTTGGTTTTTAAAACTGTTAAACTTGGTTTAATAGCTTAGGTAAGGTTTGAAAAAATGATCATTGGTAATATCGATTAATTAAATTATGTGATACATGACTAATCAAATTCTTTATTTTAATCGACAAAACACAAAAATATACGAGTTCAAATCTATGATGTAGTATTAATAAAATACATCTGAAAGATAGTATGGACTAGATGCTGGGAAAATGACAAGTTTTTAAAAGAACTTTTTTTTTATAAATTTATTTTAAATAAGTTTAGGAATATTTTTTTACTTAAGACACAAATAGACACAAATGTAGTTGTATTAATAAAATTTTCAGTATAGAGCAAATGCTCGAATAATTGATTAGGCCCATTGTCTTTGTACTTGCTAAAGTAACATATATAATCCATTAATTGAAAATGTGAAGATTAATGACAAGGTTGTATGAATAAAGTCAAGAGATATAAGAAAAAGCATTAATTAAGATAGAAAACTTCGTAATTCAAAAATATAATTAACAAAATTTATAGTTTTCATTAATATTTATTTAACTGTAAAGACATTTAAACGTGCAATGTATAGCTAAAAAAAGGTTCCATCACCCAGTGTCCTTATGTTGCACTCTACATAGTGCTGAATAATGAATAGGTTATTAATAGCATGTCTTTAAACAGTTATAAAGCTTTTCACTGTTTAAACCGTAACCAAGAAGACACTTATAATTGCTAAAAAAAGTAAATAATTAATGATTTAGTTATATGTGCTCTCAAATAATCAAAATGATACTTGTAAAACTTTTATTGAAAATTCATTAAAAATTTTACTTTTTAGAAATAAAAGCAACTCTATAACTGAATAAAGTAATTTGTGCCTGTACGAACAATTTTTCAGCAAATCAAATCATTTGGTTATTCAATAAACCAATGAACTGTATATCGATACAGTTAAATAAATCTGTTCAAGATAATTCAGCTTAGAAATCAATTCTATTTATTATATGCTCAAACTAATGATTGTAATGTTATAACAATTGAAAAATAATTAAATATTGAAATGAAAATTTTTTTTATTCAAATCAATATTAGCAATAATGTTATTATATTTAAACCTTTTTTATGGTACGACGAACCCTCGTTTTTACAATTCAAACTAAAAATGTAAGAAAATTATTCTACTATATAGCGAAACAGCCATAAGTCATTCATAAATTTTAATTTATTTGTGCGTATATGAGATTTTAAAAAATTTTGAGTTCGGGATTTTAGGAGCTCAATGGATACTTATATAACAATTCCATGTTGTGCAAACATTTTATGGTATTAGTTTCTAGAATTTAAATTATGTTTTACAAAATAAGATAGCTGCGCGACGTTGTCACGCAAACCAGGAACGGGAGACGTGAAGAGTATCGGTATTATATTTAGTAAATTTATAGGTTGTATGGTGACGGCGAACAAGTAAATTTTTAAAATCATTTATAGCGTAACGTGATTAGAAATATTCAAAGCAAACGTTCGTTTGTCAAAAATTTACCCAATAAAAAATGTTTCTGAAGATTCACCATCATGTTAATTTTAACTTAAATACAAAAGTTAGTCTTTATAGCTATGTTAGGGTTAGTGTCAGGTTTATGAATATGAAGAGAATAGTTTATACAGTAAGATTACCCAACGAAACTTTTTTTAGAGCACTAAAGGTGGTTACTTATGCTGTTTTTTGAGAAATAAGTAATTTTTGACAAAATTTAGGTTTGTTCTGAATTTTCTTGATGGTGTTAAGTTCCATCTAATCTTGGAATCTGATGCGTAGTTCAAGAAATCTGTGCCATAAGTCCGTCACACATTCAAGATGTGTAAGAATTTGTTTATGCCACAAACCTGTCACACATCTCATGCTGCAAATATATGCACTACGGTTATTTAATTGCATTGCAGATTCAAAAATCACTTCGTTTCTTATTAGTTACTTGGCAGAAAAATTTGCATGTCACCTGTTATCCCCCGCTCGTTCATTATTATATTGCTTTTTATTATATAGATAGCTATTTGTGCAAATGTATCTTTTTATAAAATATGATTGGTCAATGCTTTTAACATTGCAAATTCAAGTATAGTTACGATATATTCGAGAATTTATTCAAACCGTATGTAATATTTTATCAATATTGCTAACTTTATTTAAATTCTGGTCATAGCTTTCAAGAACTCAGATTGCAATACTCTGAATTACCATTGCAAAAATGACTACAGTATGAAATAAACAATTAGAATCATTTGAATGCGTGAGAATCATCTAGTAATATATGTTAGGGTGTTTGGTCAACATACTACGTATATAGTCCCTTATCAAATCGGTATAATTGAGATTTTTATGTAATGTTATTGATCTACATACTACAGAAATTTTATTATTGATATCCATATATAAATCTTAACAATAACTGCATCAAAAAAGTAACCCTAACTTTAACACGGTTAATTTATTCTTGCAACTTAGCTATCTAGTTGTTAATTAATTAATTGGTTGTAAAAGGTAAATACATTAGTCAATGCGTTATAACTAATACTTTGAACTCTCATGTCAAAATTTCAATATTTAAGATATAACGCAAGTTATTTACAATTTTATTCTTTTAAATTATATAAATAACTAAAATATTAAAAAAAAAATCAAATATAAGTTTCCAAAAAAACCCACACGACAAATTAAAATGCATTCCTTTTTAATCTATTGTTTATTACTTTTATATTCGAATAACTAATAATGAAAGAGGAGTTAGATTTTGAACATCATATAGTAATTCATATTAAAAAGTGTTATCCGTTCGTGTAACAATACAATCATATAAAAAACTGTTACGTATAATTAGTTTAATTAGGGGTCTTTGTCACAATTAGTCGATCAAACACCCCAACGTATCGGTATAATAAATTTGTAATACACATGCTCGTACAAATTAGGAAACACCAAGTTATAGCCTGTTATACATAGATAGAGAAAAAGGCCATAGAATAATGCAATAAGCTCGTATCTATAATAAATATAGAAATAAGTAATCATAGGATGCATATAAAAAAATCAAAGCACATATTTGTACAGAAATACTAGACTTGTCGCTTAACCATACGCTCCGTTCCTAGTACTATCAACAAAGATGACAGTAAACCTTTTAGAAAAACTTTCGACAGATTACCTTGAACTTCTTGATGATAAGGAAGATTTTAATGTAATCATTAATTCCGGAGAATCACCAAATACAAAGATATTCCGAGCACACTCAAATGTTTTAAAATATAGATCATTGTATTTTCGTAATAAATTGGCAAACACTAACAAATATACAAATAATATTAAAACAATTAATTTAAACCATGTTACTATTCAACAATTTGAAATTATTATTAAGTAAGTTACTAACTTATATATATTTAATTACACCAAGTATGCATTAAAAAACTAAACTTAAAATCTAAATCTACAAATATAATAAAGGTATATTTACGGAGGGGTAGTTTCATTGGAAAATCAAGAAGCATCATTCATTTATGAACTTATGTTTATTGCTTCAGAGCTCCTATTAGAAGAATTGATTAAATATTGTGAGACA